GCCAAGCTAACTATGGGAGAAATTTAGCTTACAGTTTAATCTTAAGACAAGGAACATAATAGCCCCCTCCCTAAACTCTCCTGTGTAGTTCAGGAACCGAAGAACCATCTTTGTAAAACTAATGAAAGGGCACAATATTAGAATTTTGGGAAGTGCCTGAATTCTGCTAACACCTATGCACCGTTAAATTATAACAAGTCATTGTTTACTACTCAGGAGTCACATAAGGGTAGTCACAAGATTTGTAACTTCCCTAATTGCTACTATAAATAACATTGCCATTGTAAAACCTAAGACCGGTATTTGAGATATTTTTCAGACTTTGCATTTCTGGTAGAACAACTGATACCCAGACCAGTGACCTCCTACCCAGGAACTGACTTAGTGCACAAAGACAGCTTCAACTCTCTATGGTTCATCCCCAACCCAACCAATCAGCAGTCTCCATCCCCTAGCACCCTGCTCACCAAACTGTCCTTTAAAAATCCTGTCCTAAGAATTCTCAGGGAGATGGATTTCAGAATGAACTCCTAACCTTCTACTTGGCCAGCCCTGCAATAATTAAACTCTTTCTCTGCTGCAGAAAGCTGCTGTTCTCAGTGCATTGGCTTTTGTGGACAATGGGCAAAATGAAACCGTTGGGGGATTACACCAACCCTACCCAAACAGACATTCTCTAAAAGCTGTCATATCTATTATCTACTCTTCTAAAAGACCATTTATCTTCTAAAAAAAGTCATTTGTATTTCCATAAGTGCCCCTCTGCCCCTCCCCATCTCCTAATGACACAGGATTTTTCTCAGCCACTTTGCCAGCCAGACACTTCTGGCTGGTGATGCCCTCGCCCCTGCCCAGGTGTTGCTGGGGGCCCAGGCTCACCACAGGAGGTGGCCTGTCTACTCAGCTTACTGGGCTGTTTCCAGCTTGCCCTCTGGTACAGATCCTGTGGCCCCTGTGACTGTGCACTCAGCCCCTGGCAGGAGGCAGTGAGTGTGCTCCTATGCTGGCACTGGGTGCTGCAAGTGCCAGCACAGGAGCAGTCTCCGTGTGGGACTTGTGGCTGGACCAGGCATGTTGCAAGTGACTCCCATGTTGGACTCTGATGTCCAGATGAGGAGAATGTGGCAGCACCCAAACAGGGGTACCCGCAACCCCAAAGACCCAGAGTGGGTGTTACAACATGCTATTAGCTCTTTTAGTCCCACTCTCTGCAGCCTCACAGATGTTAATGTGTTAACAGCTCTATCAGTCCCATGGTCCCATGCTGGCCTAAAGCTCTGGGGCTGACTTGGCCCAATAGCTGCTTCCCATGTTACAGCCTTCTTTGTGCCTGCGTTTGGTGGGTCCAGAGTTCTTGTTCTGCATCCAAGAAGAATGAGGTTACACTGACAATCAAAAAGTGAGGAGGGCAGAGAAGAGTTTTATTGAAACATGAAACAGCTCTCAGTGGAGAGGGCATTTGAGAGTGGTCCTCCACCAGAAGTTGAGTGGTCTCTCTCCCAATGTGGCTGGGTCTGGGTCTTTTATGGGCTCAGAATGGGGGCATGCATGCTGATAGGTTTGTGCATATGCAAAAAAAGGCTGAAACAAAGGCACCACTCAAAGGTAGGCACAACTGTGTAAAAAAACAATTAGGGAAGGGTAGGTATATGTAAAATAGGTGAAGTACGGGGACCAATCAGAGGAAAATGCACTAGGGGAAGTGTGGGGATCAATCAGAGAAAAATGTGCTAAATGAGAAGAGAGATTCTTGATCCAGTCAGTGGATTTATTGGAGACTTGTAGCTTGGCTTTCAGGCTTTAAACTGTCTTTAGTTTGAAGGTGGGGTTTCACCAGGGACCCACCCTTGTTTCCCTAGGATTTGTCTGCCTCCTGCCACTATCATTAAGATGATATATAAAGTCTCAAATTTCACCACTCTTTTAGCTATTCAGTTCTATGATGCCTCCATGCATATTAGATTAAAACTTAATAAACATATATGCATTTTCTCCTGTTAACCTGTCTGCTGTCAGATGAATTCACAGCACTCCCTGCTCAGCCATTGAATCTAAGAAGGTTGAGAAAAAGTATCTCCTCATCTATTCTGGAAAGCATGAATGTGGATTCTTGCCTTTCTAATCTATGACTTGCGTAGCTTCTGTGCATCTTCCTGACTTCCCAGACAATTCACCTGTACATAACTCTTCTGTGTAAAGACTACCCTTGGTTTTGTTTTTTTTCGAATGTTTAGAAATGTTTCCATTTTGTGTCACCTTCCTTTAGTCAATAATAACTCGTTTTGTTAGTATATATACTATATTAGTATATAGTATATATTAGTTTAGCTAGGTTTATCTTGTTAAAATTTTTTAAAAATACAATTTTTTTTCCCAAAAATATGCTTTTTAGCTGGGCACTATGACTCATGCCTGTAATTCCAGGACTTTAAGAGGCCAAAGCAGGCAATTCACTTAAGGTCAGGATTTTGAGACCAGTCTGGCCAACACGGTGAAACACTATCTCTACTAAAATTACAGAAATTAACTGGGTGTGATGGTGTGCACCTGTAATCCCAGCTGCTCAGGAGCTGAGGCAGGAGAATAACTTGAACGCAGGAGGCAGAGGTTGCAGTGAGCCAAGATCATGCCACTGCACTCTAGCCTGGGCAACAGAGCAAGGCTCCGTCTTAAAAAAAAAAAAAAAAAAAAAGCTTTTCTTCTTTTTTTTATATGATAAACAATGAAGGAAAGTATTAAAGGCTGGACATCATTTGTGGTTTGTGTCCCACAGTTTGCATTCCAGATTTGATCTGGTGCCTGGAACCTGCATATACCTGACATTGCCACCCAGCACCCAACTCTACCACATCTGTATTAGTCTGTTCTCAAGCTGCTATGAAGAAATATCCAAGACTGGATAATTTATTTATTCATTTATTTATTTTATTTTTTATTTTTTTATTTTTACCAAAATCAGGTGGAATAGACTGGGTAATTTATAAAGAAAGAGGATTTAATTGACACACAGCTCTGCGTGGCTGGGAAGGTCTCAGGAAACTTACAATCATGGTAGAAGTCACCTCTTCACAGGGCTACTGGGAGGGAGAATGTGTGCCAGCAGAGGAAAATGCCAGATGATTATAAAACTATCGGATCTCTTGAGACTCACTCATTATCATAAGAACAGCATGAGGAAAACCACCCCCATGATTCAATTATCTCCACCTGGTCCCACCCTTGACACATGGGGATTATTATAATTCAAGGTGAGATTTGGGTGGGGACACAGAGCCAAACCATATCAGCGCCTCTTCTGATTTTCCAAATGCAAATGTCTTATAGTCTCTTCCTGAGGAATATGCAGTTTCTGACTTGCCCTGTCTCTGACCACCCCACACAAACACCATATTGGAATTAGATAGAATCTGAATGCTGGAACTACAATGCCCCCTCCTTTAGGGGAGTGAGCTCCATAGCTCCTCTCCACACTCCTAACCTGGAAGGGTGACCCCTTCCCTCCAGAGGTGCTGATACCAGCATTTTTGCTGAAATAGGAAGCTAGCGTGGAAATGGAGAGAGAGGAATGGTGGGCAAGATAATTTTGTTTTTTCAAAGGCTCTGCACAGTATCGTCAATTAGATGAAGTGGCTGTAACTTTTCTTCTATTGACACTGACCTCTTTCCTTTATTCTACTGCCTGCAAAAGGAGTCAATTGAAGATGACTCAAGTACCAGGGCAGGTTTTGGGAGCTGAAGAAAAGGTGGGGTACAGAGGGGAGGACTAGAGGTAACCACCTTTGGAGTGAGTGAAAAGTAAGAGCACAAAATGAGTCTAACTATACAAACCAGAAAATCATTAGAACTGAAGAAAAAGGTAAAACATAGGGAAGAAGGAGGCAAATCTGAATTTGAACAACTTAGGCTATTTCTCCAAAATGAGCAAGAGACTGTTCTTGGGCAATTACAAGATGAAGAGATGGCTATTTTAGCACAAGTAAACAAAAATTTCAGATTATATCTCCTCATTAAAATATCTACTAAAGGAGATAGAGAGCATATATGTGAAGTCAGGACTGGAATTACTGGCAAATGTTAAGGATATCTATCACAGATACAAAAATTTAAAATTCCCTCAACCTTTTTCATTCAGATTAAAAGAATATGGTTACTGTCTGCCTCCACAATGTTCTGGCCTAAACAAAATTATCAAGCGATTTCAAGTAGATGTCATTCTAGATCCTGAAACAGCACATTATAAACTTATAGTCTCAGCAGACAGAAAAACTGTGCGATATGGAAATACAATGCAAAACTTACCTCCAAACCCAAGAAGACTTTATTGCCTCCCAGCTGTTGTGGGCTCTAAAGGCTATAGTTGTGGCCGGCAGTACTGGGAAGTAGAAGTGAAAAACAAGCCTGAATGGATCCTTGGTGTCTGTAATGACTCTCTTCCCAGAAGGAGGAAGCGTCCACCAACTTTAGTACAGGATGGATTATGGGGAATTTAGTGATCTGGTCGGGATAATTATATTATATTGGGTCATAAGGATATTAATGTGCTGCCAAAAGTAACACCTAGTAAGACTGGCATTTTTTTAGACTATGAAAAGAATAAGGTTTCCTTTTATAATTTGAATGATAGATCTCTACTCTATACTTTTAATGATGATTTTACAGGAGCACTTTGGCCTTATATTTATACTGGAATGGACTCAAAATCTCTTAAAATTTCTACAGCTACAGATTCTGAATAAATAACTATTAGAAGACTGTCATTTTCTTACACCTAGCAGACATAATAGAGCCAGTGAATCTAGTTTTGATAATTCTGTATTTTGTCCAATTTTTCCCACAAAAAAACCCAGAATTGTTTATATCTCAGTTTCAGCACTAAAAAATGTGATTATAGGACCTACTTTATAACAAATTATAGGATCAATGACAAACTACTTTAGAAATTCTAAAATAAAATACTAAAAATATATATTATTAAAAAAAAAAAAAATGGGTCTTCTTACCTGTCTAGTGCATTCTGTGCTCTCCTCTGGTCTGACATCCACCCATGTTCACCCAGAAAAAGGTAGAAATGATTTGAACAAGATAAGCTAGATGAGGCTTAGACATGATGAATACAGCTGGAGACATTCATGGCAGAGTCTGGAGGTCTCTTTGGGGGATCACTTCCAAAAGTGCAGATTTTTAAAGAAACCAGAAGGGTTCCGGAAAGTGATGTTTTCCTTTTGCTTAATGGCAGTTTCATGCTTCCTCTCTAAAAAAGGAGTTTGTGGCGTCAGTATATTTGACAAACGGGGGAGCGGGAAGATTCAAGAGCTTGAAGCTGCATTGCACTTCCCAAAGATGGAGAAGACATCAGGGATGAATTTCAAAGGTCAAAGGTGATAGAAATGGGGAACTGCCCTTTGAGGATTTCAAAGGGAGACAGAGCAGAGGCCTCACCATCAGTCTACACATCCTCTGCTAGAGTCTTGCAGTTCTTATTTCCCCTACCATCTTCCAACGATTATTCCCATATTTCAAGGCCATCTGACAGAGTTAACCATCAGAATTAAATAGCAGTTCCCACAGAGTTCCATCTCCTGAAGAGGTACCTGGTTGCTAGGGCAGGCCTGGAGCCTGGGTCAGGCAGCACTGTGTCTGGCGGCACTGTGTCTTTCACTCTCTACGGAGGTCTTGGACTGAGAGCTTCAAGTTCCAAAGAGATGAGATGTCAGCTTCGCCCTTAGGAGCCTTGAGGGCTCTGACCAGGAGAAGGGTCGAGCCCAGCCACTGGAAGGTCTGTTCTTTGCAGTGGGAAACGGTTGGGGACTCGGATGTCTTTTACTTTGTTCCCAGCCCTGCCCAATCCGCCCGGTTCTCAGTCCCTACACTGCCTCCTTTTCCCATGCACATCGCAACGGGTCAGCTGCTGGGACCCTGGGTAATCAGGGATCCTGACTTCGCTATGAAAAATAAAGGCCTTCTTTTTCTTTCTTTCTTTCTACTTTTGAGGCTGAGTCTCACTCTGTCGCCCAGGCTGGAGTGCAGTGGCACGATCTCGGCTCACTGCAACCTCCTCAACCGCCCTCCCCCGCCCTGACCCGCCCCCGAGTTCAAGCGATTCTCCTGCCCCAGCCTCCCAAGTAGCTGGGATTACAGGAACCTGCCACCGCGCCCTGCTAATTTTTGTATTTTTAGTAGAGCCGGGGTTTCACCATCTTGGCCAGGCTGGTCTTGAACTCCTGACCTCGTGATCCACCCGCCTCGGCCTCCCAAAGTGCTGGGATTACAGGCGTGAGCCCACTCACCCGGCCTTGAAAAATAAAGCTCTTCTTAAGCGGGAGGGGATTCATCTGAGGACGGAGGGTGGGAGTAGTGCCCGCAGTACTTTGTCGTAGTGGCACTGGGTGGGCCGTTGATCGGTTGCAGCCTGCTAGTTTGTCAGTGCCCATGGTTTCTCACCGACACTACAGCTCGTTTCTTAGAGCCAGCCGATGTTCATGGACAGCACCATCGAGCCAGAAGCAATATTTGTGCTGGTAAGCCATTTCCCACTGTCGAAGTCTACTAGGTCCCAGGCCCTCTGGTTTGTCGAATCTGCGGGTCCCGCGCGAAGCACCTATAGGTAAACTCAGCAGGCCGTTTCTCGTTAGCACTTTCGCTATTTGAACAGAGTAGGAAATTATGTGGTGGCTCCTCGCAGTCCCTTTCACCATCCGAGGACCGTGTCCTAAAGTCGGTGTCACGGTCGCAGCACCCGGCGTTTCGTTGGCTTTTTCGCCAGCAGCGCCGAGCGGTGGGGTTTTCTGTCACAGCACTTGTTGCACCGAATTTCTCGGTCCCAGAACCTCTCTTTTCCGAGGGTCGATATTTTCTCCGCGACAGCACCGTTAGTTGCGCCAAAACGGATATTGTCCTTGGCAACCCCTCCGGCTGGCGTCACTCGCAGGCTCCCGGCACTGCTATTTCGCCGAGTCGAGTTCTTTGGTCGCGGCACAGTTTGTTGCTGGATGCCTCCATTTTCTCGGTGATTGGCAGCGCTCAGGTCGCCGATCTGAGGGACTTGGAGTCGCAGCCAGTTGCGCCGAGTCTGGCATTCCCTGGCGGCGGCGGCGACGCTGGGCTCGGGAGCCCGCTGCTCCTCGGAGTCGGTGGCGGGGAGCTGCTTGGGCCTAGTCTCTTCCCAGAGCCACCAGCGCCCCGCACGGTCTCCGGCTCGGCCTCCAGAACCCAGTCCTGTGGCCGCGCCACTCGCGCCTCTGTCGCAGGCGCCTGCAGTTTCTCGCGTCGTTGGCTTCTTGGTCCTAGCAAGTTTCGATTTCTCGGTGCCTGTGATTTCTACCTCTTGTCCAAGTCAACAGCCAAAATGTGATTTTCTCAGCCCAGGCAAGTCCCGATTTAGGACAAACCCTGGTCTAGTCTTGGCTGCGATTTCTTGGCCCTAGGAAGTCACTATTTAGCTGTGTAGCAAGGGAGACTTAACTGTGCGATGGTGATTTCTTTTCTTTTCTTTGGTTCTCTTTCTTTTCTGTCTTGATAAGGGTCCGGCTCTGTCGCCCAGGCTGCAGTGCAGTGGCTTAATCTCGATCTCGGCTCACTGCAACCTCTGCCTCCTGGGCTGAAGCGATCCTCCCACCCCAGCCTCCGGAGTAGCTGGGACCACAGGCACGCACCACCGCGCAAGGCTAATTTGTTTGTATTTTTTGTAGAGATGGGGTTTCGCCATGTTGCCTGGGCTGGTCTCAAACTCCTGATTTCTTAGTCCCACCAACTCAGAGTTTAGTTATTTCTTACCGTAGCAAGTTGAGATTTATTCCAGTTTGCGATTTCTAGTCGTAACAATTCTGGCTTTAACCGCGCCTACATAATTTTTGCAGTAGCAAGTTCCTGTTTCGTAATAGGAACCCCCTTTATAGCCATGCCTGCGGTTTATAACTCCTGTATTAATCTGGATACTACAAAATACAATTTAAAAAAACAATTTAGTAGTGTCTGGAATCTTCTAGTCATATCAAATTAGATTTCGCAGTAGTCTCGCCCTGGCTATGGTGGTAATTTTTCACTCATATAGAAGTTTGGGTATGTAAGCTACAGGAAATTTTTGGTGCCGTAAATGCCGGTTTCGCTATGGCTATTTCTCCAGGAAACTGGATAGGCGCACTAGAGAGGCACGGGTTTAGTGCTAACAAACAGAATGGTAGTATGGCACCGTTCGACACTGTTTGCAATTTCTCTGTGTGTGTGTGTCTTGTTCTGGGAGCAAGGTTATTGGTGTATTTTATTTCATTTCTATTTGCTTTCAAAATTTTCAGGCCAGGTACGGTGGCCCACACCTGTAATCCCGCACTTTGGGAGGCCGCGGAGGGCGGATCACAAGGTCAAGGAGATCAGGCCATCCTGGCTAACACGGTGAAACCCCGTCTCTACTAAAGATACCAAAAAATCAGCCAGGCGTGGTGGCACGCACGTATAATCCCAGCTACTCGGGAGGCTGAGACAGGAGAATCGCATGAACCCAGGAGGCGGAGTCTGCAGTGAGTCAAGATCGTGCCACTGCACTCCAGCCTGGGCAACAGAGCGAGGCTACGTCTCAAAAAAAAAAAAAAAAAAAAATTCACTACTTGAATTTAAATGTTACGGTTGTTTTTTTTTCTTACCCACTGCCTTTCCTGGTAAAGTAAATGTTGCCTTTATTTTCTACTGATTTTCAGTATCACGTCTCAGGTTCCTGCTAACTTGCCTTCTCCCGCCAGCACCAGGGGCGAGCTGGTGCCCGACCATTAGGGTTCTCTTCCGCGGCTCTCCTCCTATGCCAAACTGGCAGTTTCGCATCGCACTTTCGCCAGTAGCGGCGACTCTTTGTTTTCTCGGTTACTGCTCCCTTGGTAGCGCTGAATAAAACAGCGTCCCTCGTTCACAAGACTCAAACGTTCTTTGTGGCATCGCTTCCAGTGCCCTAGCACCGCTGCTTTCCTCGGGCTGGCTGTCTGTTTCAGTACAGTGATTGGCCAGACTTTCGCTGGCAGGGCTTGGCCTCAGTTTTTCTGTCACTGGCGTATTTCACTAGGTAGGCGCTTTCTCCGTGGAAGCACCGTACAACCTTCCAAGCCCCGATATTTCTGAGAGACAACAGTTTCTTAGTGGTAATAGCTTAACTGAGCCAAAAATATAGTTTGCCTCTGGTTACACCGCTAGTTGTTCAATGTTGGCACTTGCTATTGATGCAAGATTTTGGCTCCTTAGCTCAGCTAAGTCCGGGTTCTTTTTCTTTCTTTTCTTTGTTTTGGAGACGGAGTATCGCTCTGTCCCCCAGGCAGGAATGCAATGGTGCCATCTCAGCTCACTGCAACCGCCTCCCAGGTTCAAGAGGTTCTCCTGTCTCAGCTTCCGGAATATCTGGGATTACAGGCACACGCCACCATTCCCGTGTATTTTTTGTATTTTTCATAGAGACGGGGTTTCACCAAGTCACCGTGTTGGCCAGGCTGGGCTTGAACTCCTGACGTCAGGTAGTCCATCCACCTCGGCCTCCCAAAGTGCTGAGATTACAGGAGTGAGCCATCGTCCCCGGTCAAGTTCAGGTTTTTGTCTCATGATCAGGAAGAAATGGGCACTTGGGCATTGAAGAGTAAGTGGAGTAGAATTTATTAAGCGACAAGGAAAGCTCACAGCAAAAAAGAGGGGTCCTGAAAGCAGGTTTCGGGTTGCCCCCTTTACATTTGAATACAAGAGCTTTTATATAAAAGCTAATGGAACTGTGTTCCCTGTTTGTATAAGGTGAGAATTCCTGGTAGCTCCACCACCATTCCCCCTGTCGGCATGTGGGCCCTTAGTCCTTAGAGGGCATATTTAGGCCAGCCGCATGTGCAAGTTCCCTTATTCCAGAGGTTCTTTGGGGACCTTTCCCTTACTGTGTGCCTAAAGCAATCTGGCTAACTCCTTTTACTATGTCCCAGTACCCTGTTTCCTTATACTGGTACTTTCTCAGTTATAGCACTGCTCATTCACCCAAGCAGGATTGATCTCCGTGGCAGCACCGCTGATGGGTCGATCGCTCCACTTCTCCTAAACAGTATCTCTAGTTTTGGGGTCCTTGCACTACCATAGCGGCTCTTCATGGGTCGTGGACTTGCAGGACATTTGCCGACTCCATCCCATGCTGCCTCCGTAGGTTCGGCTGCGGAGCAAAAGGAACAAACTCCTGCAAAAGAACAACCTCGAGGGTTAGACATTTAGGAGCCACATTTATAGAGGCTTTTCTTTCATTAAAAAAAAAAAAAAAATGCACACACACACACACACACACAACTGGCCATTAGAAGCATGACATTGAGTAATAGAGATATCATAGTCCTTATTTTAAGACATGTTTTCATAACTGGTACATGCCCTTATATTTATCTACTTGTTTATAATAATGCAATAAACCCTAAAATTGACACACTCTAATTTTCAGCAGTTATTTCAGAGCAGCATGACATCCATTTCCTGTTGTTCAATTTCTCTTTCCAGCTCCCTTTACATTTCTTTCTTTCTTTCTTTCTTTTTTTTTTTTTTTTTTTT